AACACAACATTCGGGCTTGAACAAGGCTAGGAATTTTGATCAAACTAAGACGTTAATTTATAGTGTATCTACATAGAGGACAACCATTGAGTGTAAAGAACAAAATACCGTAAAGTCTTTACTAAAAGACATAGGGAGAGGATTTGGTAATCAGTGTCAACTAGCGAATTTTGCTCTAACTTATCCAATGTATCCATTTTAGGAAATCCGGTGATGATACCTTTAAGTTATTGTGAAACACTTGACTAGTACTATTTAGGTGAAATTTTCTGGACCATAGAAAATCAATGTCTGCCAGTTTATTGTGGTTGCAGCAACCAAGAACCCAATTTTCATGGAAGGATACAGATAAAGAATTGATGAGTTTACTTTAATAATTTGGGTTTTCTTTTTATTCGCCTTCAAAATGAACGAAGAAAACATTAACAGATATGCGTTTTTGCACTTTTCTGAGGATAAAATTTGAAAAAAAGAATTATCCCTCAAATTTTTAAGTGTCTATGTCACCGACTAGATTCTCGACAATAAACACCTCTACTATTAGTTTTATTGTCAAAAATAGACATTAATAAACATCAAACCCTTCTGCTATTTACAGCACTATGGACACACATTAAACCTCATAACTCGTTGCCACAAATGGGAACAGACCTAACTCTAGCGGAAGACCTTCACAATCACGATTCGGCCTTCTAACGCGAAAAGTACATAAATATGGCCACAGAAATTTCTCCTGAAATAGAAACTAATTGAAAAAAAGAAATTGAATAATCTAATTGATGCAATTGAATAGAAGAAATTGGGAGTTGAAGCGAATCTGATGGACTTGTTATCTTTGGCTGATCTTTTGAATGCGGTCTTAAAGGGAAGGCTTTCATCTCCGACTTAGTCTCTAAAATAACGAAACAATGTCAGGCGAATTCTCGAAGTAACACTTGATTGAAATCATTTGATATATATTATATTCCACGAAAGTGATCACAAATAATGGTATTTAGTTTGATACTCGTTCACCTCATTCAAAAGAGATAGGGACTTTTATGCTTACGAGTGTTTCTTAAACGGATTCTTCACGCTGAATGAAGAAAATATGGACTACAGATTGACTTACAGCGTCGATCTCATGTTGCTAGAGAACCAGGTCTGAATGCAGTCTTCAAACTTGTCAAGAGATAGTCATTTAATTCAGAAAGTTCTAAAAACTAGCCGTTATTTGATGGTTGCGTGGTGGTCACCTTGATGGAATTAGGTAGTAATGTGGGTATAGCAGTTGTTCTATGTATACTTTCCAAGACGGAGGCAAGAACAAGCGTAAGCCAAGGAAGTATCAACTACCTCTGCTAAAAATCAATAAAATGGCCTGTCATTTATTGAATTGTATGAGAAATATGAAGAGAACATGATGTTTACGAACTTACTTTCGGTGAGGGAGCTTTCAATTACAACAGATGGATCCGAGGTCATGCACAGTAATCTTCACCATCAAATTCACAGCTACGCTGATCAATACTGTGAAACATTTAATAAGTAACATATTTTCATAATTTTAAGTACTTTTAAAATTGAGTGGTTTAGAAACAGTGGTAACGACGCATCTCTCAGTGCCATCAATACGATATTGAGTGCATGAAAACTACCTTGAAGCTTATTGTTAATGAGCGGTATATACTACTTAAGTTGAATACAGTAGAACTGAACACAAGTCTAAACAGATTTAAAACATAGAGTAGGAGCCTTTTCCAAGGGAGTACGAAGAAGGAACGGAATCATTGCTGAGCACTTGAAGTCTTTTTGGAGACTGGTGTATCTCATTGGTACTTAGACCATTTCAAAGGGCTGCATTTTTCACGTATATTGACATATCTATCCTCAGGTTTAAAATTCCAACGGCCCACTTTGCTTCCAGTTACCTGGATCACACTAAGTTCAAATTGGCAGGATCTGGTTCAGCATGCATGCAAAAATGTTCTAAATGTAAATTTTAAGAAATTCTGATTTTATGGTCGTGTCAAATTATTCCAACATCTTTATCTACAACCAAAGAGCTCTTAACCCCCGAGGCGAACAAATGCGGCAACAATTTTATTAGATAACTTAAGTAAAATCGGTATTAAATGTAAAAGTGCATTTGGTGCTAGATTTTTGGGAAGACAAAGGAAGTATTGCAAACATATCGTATGAACATTGGTTCTATAGGACTTAAGTACCTGCTCATAATAGAGTTTCTTTCATCTAAATTTACGATGCGTCAAGGGCAAACTTTTGCTTTCTAATTGCAAAATTGCTCCACTCTCTCTGTTTCCTTTGAATAGAAGTACTCCTTTACCATTAGTCCTCTCCCTATGTTGGGGCGATAGAAATCGTAATACTTCCCTATGAAAAGAAGCGCAATAAATTAAATTTATCACGATTACTTTACCACCTTCCTATTAACGCATGCCTGAACTTTGTCTTGGTACCAACATTTTATCCTATGTTTCTCTACCCTAAAGCTAGCAATGATGTAGCTTCCTATCTCTTCAATGTGGTCTGTTCAGGCATACAGATTTAGCAGTGAAACGATTTGAGACAGCAAAAAAATAGTGTAAGCCTACCTCAACCATACATTGAAGAGCAGTTTCCTCCATTTATTCTTATTTTTCATACCCATTATCCGTTACGAATCTTTACTACGAAACCTTCTCCTTAAGAAGGCTAAATGATCATCACCAAGTCTTTTACTGCAGTAGTATAAGTATAATAAATAATTGTTGCGGAAAAGTTGTCTAAACCCAGTTCAGAGTTATTATTATTGTAATATAAGAAAGAAATGCACAGAGGCGAAATAACTAACACCAGCCTACTTGTTTAGGGAGTGAGGAAGAGGAAAGCGAAGGAAATGCATAACTTTTGAAAGGAAATCAAAAGAGAAGACCAAATCAGAAACCCAAGAGGTAATGAGGAACTAGTGCATAAATGGAGACCGTAAAGGATGAAGAGAGGAGGAAGAGGAAGAATTGAAAGGCATGGGAAAGGCGATCACTAGGATGCTCACTTTTACCTATTGGTTTGCGTAATGATTTGGGGTTAAAATGCACAAAGTTGATGGCCTGTCACCCGATTTGGTCATCCGGGTATGGTATTCACATCAATGGAAATAGCAAGATGATTCTGCATAAGGCGTTTTAAATACAACCGTTTTCACTTGAGGTGAGTTTTATTAATCATCAAGCATTGAATTAAAATTATCTTGAACATGTATATCTAAAAATTTCCACAACGTTTTCTAGCAAAATCCAACTGTATGAAATGACTCAAGCTACTTCAAAAATATCGAAGAGGTAGAGTTAACTAATTGGCTGGCGTTTATTACAGCTTATTGGCCACTGGCAAAAGGATTAGTCTTAAAGTACAAATTTAGCTTCGCAATAGACTTACCTCCACGTGATGCACCCTGGGCAACGTATACTTATTCGGCAAAAAAGTCTATCAAATTGGCAATTGACTTCTGACTTCAAACTACTAGGGCCCGACTATTTGTCATATTCGACCCCCTCCACAGCACTCATCTTACCTTTTTTATGCCTTTGTGTCTGTCTCTTTTACCTCTGAGAATCATTATTCTGTCTCCCATCTCGACTTTTTGTCACTTAAATGTTCCTCCTCCTCTCTGTGAAGCCCCGAAGTCAGCTCCAGGGCTAATGATAACTATCTTCAAAACTCCTGCCATTTGATATAAATAAATAAATAATTGGGAACAGCCAGCCATTTGATATAAATAAATAAATAAACAATACAGCGACTATTGCTTGCAAGTTGACTGAGAGCTCTTTGCTCTCACGACCACATCTTCTTGCTATGCGATCAGATGAGCGCCAAACCTTACAGCAGATTATTAAAGTGAATACGCAATTTCTATCTTCAGCCTTGGCAGCGTTTAGCATTCCGCACGAGACAAAGAAATCCTAAATAATTTTGTTTGGTAATGAAGTCTAACTATTTGAATTCTGGAAGAACTGAGCTATGCACATTGCTTATGAGGTACAGTTTCAACGAAACGCTCTGATATTCAAATTTCTTGTTCCCGTCTCCAGGATAAAGTAAACAGGTTATCACATATATAATCAATTCAACCGACAGTATTTAATCTAATGTTATGGTTGGCCAAGTATCCTCGATTTATTATCTTTTTATTGCCAAGAGTCGGTTTTTCGCAACTGGATTCAATGGCTTATTTCATTAGTTTAAAATTTCTGTTTTCTTTTCACCGGAGGAAAAACCATAAAGGGGAAGTGTGTTTAATTTTATAGGGAAATATTTAGAACGGTGGAAGGGAGAGGTTAAAAATTAAGAGAAGCGTAAATTATCCAAGATCCGGAATCATTGCGTCAACTGCTGTTTATGGTTGTAGTTCTTTCAAACTGCAGTATTGTCTCACACTTAAAACAGGAAAACTGGATGACGTATTTCATGCAAATTCACAGCCACTCTGCCCTCACATCATTTTACAGCACTTATCTACTGGACAAAGACGCCAACCAGCCGGTGGATCATCTTTTGAAACGTAGTGATCGATCCACCAGTGCCTCCTCGTCGTTCGGTCATATTTTATCGTATTTAATTAAAATTAATCATTAGGATTTGAATAATTGTTTTATGACAACTAAGAGCTTAGCTTAACAATTTGTGATTAATACAGTTTAAAAATTCTATTCAAGTATTTTCTTTACTTCAATATAAATAGATATTGAACGTGGAGGAAAAAAGTATAAATAAATTTTTTACGCCCCATAAATTAAACATTAAAAAACTTCACCCTGTAAGTTGGGCACACTTTAGGAGAACAAAAGGAACGGTTTTCATTAAGGCAGACAGAGACATAGTTATCTCACTTTCTTAAGCTTCAATACTGTTTGACAAGATGCTCCTAGTAATCGAGCGCGAATCAATTTAGTAATATACCAAGAGGCCAATATTTCAACTAAAAATTTGCGAGAGCCACTTAATATATTAGCTAAGGAGTAATATTAGGGATGCCCGAAGTCTCTGCTGTTTTAAACATATTAATAATCAACTAATCTGAGGTGTGCGATAGACTTACCTCCACGTGGTGCACCCTGGGTAACGTGTACTCACACAGCATGAAAGTCTATTAACTGGCAGTTGACTTCAAACTGCCATCATCCCACTATATGTCATATTCGACCCCTTCCCAGTACTCACCTCATCTTTTTCTACCTTTGGGTCTGTCTTTCTCCTTTACATCTGAGAATCACTCTAGACTTTGATGTTCCTCCTCTTCTCTGTAAAACCCAAAGTAAGCTAAAGGGCTAATGCTTACTCTCAAAACGCCTGCCATTTGAATAAGTAATCAACTAATCTTTATTAGGTTCAGTTGATGCGTCATGGTGGGTTTATTATAGATACGAATCGAAATGGAATCATGGAGCTGAAAAGGTATGAATGAAAAATATGCAAACAAATAAAAGATCATATGAGTCGAATTTCTAGGAATGGTATATGTTGAAAGAAAGGTGCTATGTTGCAAACTGCCGCCATCTGTTTAAGGACGTAGGATATAGCATATTCTATTCAGCACTTCTTCTTAATGGTAGAGCTATTAAATTATAAAGGGTTTACTGATATCAAGCAAGTAACAGCCAAATTTTGGCATATCCGCTGATATGAAGTTCTAATTATGGTTGAGGTCGAGAAAATAGTACGTCATAGATAGTGCTCAAAGACCCCAACACTCTCAACAAAGTACTAGTAATGCAAACCCTTAATTATTCGTCCATTTTTTATTGTTCTCCTAATTTCTTCACAGAAGTAAACATACGAATCTATTAAATAGAAGTCAAAATGATAATAAGATACCAAGTTCGTTCAGATCAAAATATCGAATAAAACTATGTATTGAATTAGCCGTTGTGTTGACGATTGTGGTAAAAACAAAAGCCTATTAATTTGAAAGAAATTATCACTTAATATTTTAATGACATCTAATTAATATTAATTAAAAGTTAGACATATTTTATAAATTAAATATTTTGTAAAAAGTTGCGCAAATTAAAACAATTGTTTCATAAAATATTTATTGAATTGTAAAACAAATAATATATGGGCTGGATGGAAAATAGTAAAATAAATTTTTTCTGGGGGGGGGTGTAGGCCAAAATTAGTGAATTTATTGACAAATAATGACTATTTTATAGTGCTTCAAAAGATTTGTTCAACGTTGAAGATAATTATAGGTCCTAGTTACTGACCCTTGACGTAGCCGCTAAGAGATTTGTGCTCACAACGTGATCTGCTCAGCCTGACGTAATCATTCCTTCCTTGACACTACGATAGCTTTTTTGCGCGAAACATTTGGCCACTCCTCTCCAACTCTGATAGCTGATACAAACTCTTGCTTACTTCGTCAAAATCTTTACTTTCGCCCCTTCGAACAGTCTTAAAATGTCTAACAAAATACATCCTGGTATGAATGTAGTGCCTCTTATTCTATTTTTTGACCCAATGAAACGATGTGTCTGGGTCTTAGACATGAAAAACGATTTCCAATAATGCTATATTAGCAAGCCAAGGACGATTTTTCCACATGCTTTTCTGCTCAACCAACTTACGCTTTCGAAAAGTCACTGACCACCTCTACAAGGCAATAGAAGGTAATTGGTATGAGGCAATTTAATAATCTCTCACTAGTCTTCTATCTAAATCGCCTTTACTAGGAGATTGTACTCCTTCTCAGCTTCCCCAACCCATGTGGTTGGCAGTTATGACTGAAGTGTCATACTATAAATATTGTCAGCATGTCTACTTTCGAACACCTGAAGAAGTAGCCTCAACGATTTAGTCGAGGCATCCAACGGAATTTAATAAATCTGCGCTCGGCAGTGTTTAAGCGATGGAAACTCTGAATACCGCCCCCCCCCCCCCCCCCATAATCTAACAACCTTTCTGAACCTATGCAGAAAATAGAACCCATTATGTAGGACAGCTCATCTAATCGAAACACTGAAACAAAATCTTCTTCTACAACTGGACGTATATGGAAGGAGGCAACAATTATCAGATTGACTACAAGTAAACTAATGTTAATGTTGCTATCCTACTCGAAGGCCCTATAGGAGCCGAAGTTAGCGTCGTCACTAGTCCTGTTAAAAAATTTCTTCTTCAATAAACTGGTCGCGCCCTGCAAATAATAGGTGACTTTTTTTCAAATCTCTATGAACCTTTCTCTGTTATTTAAAATAGCATATGTCAGGATTTGAAAATGGTAAAACCTCTTGAACCCATTGATAAAAAATTTTCCAAAAACGGCCAATCAAAAGACGGAACGCGATGTCGAACTCTTTCAAGCTGATATACGAGCCAATTAGCAACGCAGTTTATCCCTAATTGTATCTAAAATAGCTTTGAGGTAGTTGGCCATAATTGCACAAATACTTCTGATTTAGCCTAGTTAATTGTGAAACGAACATATTGAAAAGTGCTAAGATTTAGTGAAAGCTTATTTATATCGTATCTGATACACCATAGACAATAATACGTTTGTTTGCGCCGCTTCAATTATCGTAAAATAAGCCAATTACCATTTTAAAGTAATAAGTAGACCTCATGCTTTATGTCCCAATATTATGATACATTTACACGAATATAATTGAAGCTTCACATTGCATTACATCCATCTTTATATAAATTTTAAGAACATAATTATATACACGTAGTTTTAGGCAAAGAGACGAGTAGATACGTTCCGACCTAACAGGCGCGTCTCAGTTTTAACTAAGCTGACAATCACGTCAGCACACGGGAGAAAACGAAAATAGTAACCTAGGCTACATGACCTTCAACTACAGCCTCAAGCTACTTTTGACGGAGGTAGAAATTGTGGTAAGGCGGTTGTTACCCCATATTCCACCTTTACATCCTCCTTAACCCAATGAAATCGTTCAGCCTGTAACACTACCATTCTCTGTCTATAAGAAGTTCTGCATGATCATGATCATGATTGCTACAGCATGGAGACCAATAGTGCCACTTAACCCGAAGATAATCGACACATTTTAACGGAAAAAATTCATCAAACTTTAAAAACCGTACTATATTTTATACACAAATTTTCTTCATATTAATACAAGAAAGAGCAAAAAAACAAATCAGAAGAAGCAACAGTGGCACTACTGACTCATACTCATGTCACATGACTCTTCTAGGTCAATAGTCTTATCCAATTCGTTTTCTTCCTCAATCTCACCATCACTTGTAATTCTTATCGCTGGTGCCTCATTTACAGAAACTTCCTCCATACTCAGGATCTTTTCTAGTTGTTCTGTGATTTTCTCCACGGCAGGATGAGGTAGAGGCGAGGTGTATTGAGTCAGGAGCCGTGGGAATAGTTCAGGAATACCCTCTTCCATTATATGGGATTCTGTGATAGCGCAGAGAATCTCTGGAGTGATTGTAAAGAAGCCATTAGTGGCGCCATCTTTGTCTGCAACACAATCACGAATTCGATTACGAATATCATTAATGAAGAACTTCATTTCTCGAGGTGTGAGGAGTCGGAGAAGATGTTCAATGGGAGGTGGGGGAAGTTTATGTTCTGGAGCATCTTTTTTTGAAGGAGGAATGTAGGGGTATTGCGCTAAACGAGTGACAAGAAACTCAGTTGCCTTGTATAATTTGGAATTTGTATCTACGCCTCTGTGGCCGTTGTTAACTGCCATCTAAAATACAAGATAAAAACACAATAAACTGCAATGAGATTAAAGAAAACGATTCAAATAAAAAAGGTATTTACCATTCGGGCACGTCGTTTGGCTAGATCGGGGAAACCGGGAATAGGAAAGGCACCAAGGGTCGACTGAACTTCCTTTTCATTCTCGAATGTTGGAAGAGGAACTTGTGGAGCTAGAGGAGAATTCCAAGCTGCTTCTAGCCCCAAGAGAAGACCAAGAATCAATCGTGGTGCTGGGAAGGGACTGGAGTCTTTTAAGTTAGCTAAAATAGATTACTAATGTGTTAGTTTAAAAGATTATAAATATTTTAAATAAGAGAACTAGCAAAAAATCGACGCTAAAAATCACTGCTAAAAGTGACTACGGAGACAATTGATTTAAATTTTCCTGTCGTGTTCAAAAAAACGTTCTTCCTAACAGTGTCTTAAAACCCTTTACATATTACATACATAACATAGCTGAAAGCATCACGAGACACAAAATACTAAGACTTACGTGGCTTGGAATTCAACGAGAGGTGATTGCGTGACCTCCGACTTAAGAGAAATTACGCAACCACCCGCAATCAAAATGCGGAAAACTAACCTTTATCACTTGGTGGCGACAAGAGGAGGTCGAGGAAAGCCCATAGAACTCTTTCGCTATTGGTAGGACGTCCATCTCTCCACTCAGATACAAACACTCGCAGTAGCGCCATAATTCTATCCAAATCAGGCTCGTAAGGCTCATTGATTACCACTTTTGCATTAGGTTGAACCTTTGGTGGGGTTCGAATGTGGAGATACGTTTGTCTAAGCTGGAACCAATGATAACCAAGATCATATTGATCAGGATTCTGTTGTTGAAGTTGTGATTCAGGGATATCTTTAGAACCACGTAGTGACGGTGGGCTAAGTTTCACGAAATCTGTCTGTCGAAGCTGCATGCCATGAGGTAGAATGCAATCCTCCAGAGTGCCTCCAAAGCACAGTTGTTTTTCGTAATCAAACTCTTCAATTTCAGACGTCATTAATAGGCGTCGAACTAAATGAACCCAAAGAGCCGTGGATGGCTTATATTCTGAGGAGTGGATATCATCCTTTCCATCACCTTTGGCACTATTGGCAACGGATGGGTTTCGACGAATAAGTTGACCCTTTGTCACAGTGACTTTGTTTGTTAGTTCCGAGGGAGGATTGTCTATGAGAAGATCTGATGTCGAATGGGCTGAATCTTGGAGAGTGGAAACTACAGACGGTTCAAAAATCAGAAAACGTTCCTTTGGCTACAATGGTTCAAAAGAACGAGATATTAGCAATATAATCAATTATATGCCATCTCAATATATAAAACATTGTAGCTTAAGCATTGATGAATGAGACAAATTCGATTTCTGGATCTTAAGTCAGTTAAACAAAATGGATTTGAGAGATCAATATTTAAGATGACCATTAAATAAGATGAGGTCAACATGTAGAAATAAAACGATGAGTAGGACTTTTACTGCCTCCTCTCACACGATACTTACTGTCAGACGTGTATTCCATTACATTAATTGCCTCTTCCTTAATAAACACGCATTCCACTTCGACGAATGTCTTTTTCCCAACTGTTTAAAAGTCGTCTATCAATTTGAGAGAGTGCAATTTAAAGAGGCAACAGAAGTTAATCCATTCTTATATCGTTATGGATGATTTAGAGACATGAACGGTGCAATATAAAATTTGCAGTTTTTTCCTTAGTAAGTTTACCATTGTCCCTTATTTAGATTACACTCAAGCCAATATTCAAGATTCAGATATTTCAAATTAGTAGTTGGCAATCGAAACTGAATAAGTAAGAAGCACTTTGGTCTAGAGGTTGAAATCTTAACCAGCTGCAGCAGATCTATGCTTCTTAGACCAAGACACCCAATATACATTCAGGGCGTAAAATAACTAACCTTTCTTAGATCTATTCAATTTTACTAGCTTCGATGGCAAAATTGCACTTTTAACGTTGAGCATCAAATGAAAAGAGGAATTAAAGAAAGCTAGGTAAAATTATGAGAAAGTTGTTCACGCGGTGTCTAGACTCTAAATTGTCAAATTTTCTACAGATTCAATTTACTATCTTTCGTAATGTATTCAACAATCTCATATCTTTCTGAATGGCAAGATCAAATACCATTTCATAACTACCTTAATTTCAGTAGTTATTGAAATGGCCACGCATACACCAAGGAGTTTCACTTGCGTCAATTATTTGTACAATTCAACATCCGAATAAAATCGCCTTTAGCTTTAAACCTCTGTTTAAGTTGAGAAAATACCACTAAAACTAGCGTCGTTGAAGAAATTTCAGAAGGTCATCACTTTTCAAGGCTAGTGCAAACTTCACCATAACCAAATAGATGAAAAAGAAAACAAAACAATAGAATGAATAACGTGCTCAATTAACTTACAACATATCTCTTGCAAGCAGCCTGCGCAAGGTGAACCAGAGCAGAACTTCGGATCAGTTTGTTTGAGTTCGATAAGGCCTCCAGCAAAGTAAGAACCCTCTTATAAGGTCCAAGGATATTCTCTCGGGTCTTAAAAGTAGTTTCATCAACCTTTCTCAATAAGACAGCAGAAATAGAGGCTAACATTCGACCAATAACAATAGAATCGGCAGGCGATCGACTGAATCCTCGAAAATTTAAGTCTATTTCCTCAAAGATACGCAACGCCACGTCAAATGCCTAGAAAACGGTTCTGGGTATTATATAAGTCCTAGCTTCGTTTAAAGAAATAAAATTATAGGAAGACATACGGCTAACTCCCCAGGTTCCTCCACCATAACTAGTAAGAGATCAGTTAGTTTCGGAAGAGCTACATTAACAGTGTTATTAAGCCATGCTTCTCGCAGTACACCGTCTTCTGATTTCAAAAATGCGCCTTCACGTTTTAACAGCCAAAGTATATTAACCAACGCCTTTTTACGTTCAACCCAAGAACAAAGCTTTGTTATGGTATCTAGGACGTCTTCCAAGCAACCCTTAAGAAATTTTCGGGTGGTTGATGAATCGGCTCGGTTTAAACCAATCCATTCAGAAAGCAGGGAAAAGAAATGGAGAAGAGGGCAAGCCGATTTATTCACTTGGTACTTCGTATCACCCACATTCCAAAGGACTATTCTTTCTACAAGGTAAAGCCAAGAGCTACTAACCACATTTCAGTAGGCGATCTGTTTATAAATAATTGAAATGGCAACTTACTAAAGAACTGCTGCGAAAGTTCATCACTTCGAGAGTAAGAGAAGATAATGGTTAGGAGGAGTCCAGCAAATGAGTAGCCCTTTTCCATAAACATTTGCATAAGCTTATTGTCTTCCGCTTTAACATCGGATGTTAAAAAGGAAGGGACTTCAGATAACCTGTTACGTTCTTTATAACTGAGAATAGTAGGAACGCGATGAAATGCATATAAAACGATAGAGTGAATCGAATTGGAAAGAAAGAACCTACAACATGAAACTCTCCAATCGGGATAAGATTTTACTGAGGATGCCCTGACTAACTGTCGATGCTTTTGAGAACGAAGGAGCATCGGAGTGGATAGCGATTAGCAGATTAGTACACTGAAGAGCACAATCCTCTAGAAGAAAATGCAGAGCGCGGGATGAGGTAACCATGAATATTATTACTGTTAATAGTAAAATCTGCTTATTGAAAATCGCATCAAAAATGGATATAAAGAGGAATCGCTTACAAGTTATGGGGTATAACAGAGAGATTTGTGAGCTAGTAGTCATGTTTTGGCAATTTAACACTTCCAGGTTTGACCTGGAATGGTGGTGTCTAAAAGTCACATTTACTAGATGTAGTAGACTCTGGCTTGCTGGGTAAAATTAAACTCAGAAGAATTACATGAAATAACACATCCAGCAGGTTAAGAAGAATTTGCATTGCCAATTCCTTCAAAAGCTTTCCGCATCTAATAGAATCTTTAAAACCACGGAGTTAACTAGTCTCGAAGTGATGGCTAAATCTAGCGGATTTTGCATTCCTACTCTTATCCGTAGACACAGTTCAATTACGTCGAGGCCTGGTAATAGTTGATCAAGTCGCCAGAGCAACTACCGCCTTTCCAACCTACTTAATAGATGGTAATGGAACTTTTTTGAGTCAATAGGTACCATGGCACAAAATGAAACCTTGCACCAAGTCAAGCAAGGTGCTTGACGTGTTGGTCGTGGCTACAAAGGCTGATTTCGATAAACGTCTCTAAAAGCACAAGTGTTCATATCCGAGTCGAAACTGTGAAATAAAAAGGTACCAAGTTGAATACGAATTTTAGCTTTTGTACAATCGAAAAAACAATGTAATTTGGCTCTTCAATCTTAAGATCAAGATTAAAACCATACAACATAATGCCACTGTTAGTGGCTATGGAAAAAAGCAAGCGTTTCAATTCACTTTAATCCCAGATCCATCTGTTTGCCCACTCATTTAAAGACTGAACATATTTCATTAATGTTCCAAAGTTCGGACTTCAGAATTCTACCTTTATGCATAATCTTGTCCTTCAAGAGTTTATTGTTCTAAGGCTGAAAAAGTGGTCATACTGGTTATCAAAATTTTATAACCAAAACATTGAATCCAGAAAAAGCAAACACCAAACTCACCCGAAACACTACAAATGCCATCAACAACAGCATCTTCCAGATCCTGATAAGGTCCATTAGGAATCCCTTTCAGCAGTTTTAAAATCACAGATTCCATGGCCTTGTAATCCCCTAATAATCTCGTCAGAAAATGGCAAGCAGTTTTCAGGGCGATTTGTCTCATAGATGTACAAATACTGACAAATTCTCTAGCATGACTGCAAGGAAAAGTGGTATGAAAATCATGTGAAAGAAATCCACGAGCTACGCTCAATGCCGATGGTCTTGGTCGATTTCTCTGTGGTAGCACTAAATTAATTGAAACTTGGAATTCAAAAAAAATGTTCTTACCATCTAAATTTGATGGATCTCTTGGGGAAAGCACAATCAGCGAAATCAGAACATGAATCAGATTAGATGTTAAAGGTGTTGCTTTATCCAATTCGGAAAATTTCTCCTCTAACCAGCTAGTCAAGGACGAATGAAGTTGATAAGGAAAGTATATCCCCACATACACAAGATTGGCAAGCCCCGTAATAGCCCAAAATCGAGAATACTCAATCCCAGGGTTTCTATGTGGTCCGCGCAAGCAAACATCCAGTAAGTGTCGACAAAACCGGTCGATTATTGATTGATTACAACTATTCTGGCCCACAGCATCAGCAACCTGCTTGATTAGCCACTTTATACACCAGTGAGGAACGCAAGCGGTACGATCCATTGCATGTGAAGGAGTGTATATGGATAAACTCGAACATCTAACTTCAGCTGGCACCGCACAGAGCACGAGTCGTTCAACAGAGGCTGCTGTGGAATAGCGTTGACTGACCATACAAGTGAAAACTATCCGCAGTAATTGTTTCACAACCTCAGAGTAAGCAAATATTTTACCAAGAAGGGCTAAATTGAACTTGTTTGGATGTAAATCAGGCGCAATATCAGTCTCTTTTTCCCCGGTTTTTACATGTTCTTGTAGGTCATCTTCAATTACGACCAGAGCATCTGAGTCACTCTCGTAATTTCGGCTGGCGCTGCTTTCATTTCCAGAGAGGTCATCGACTTCAGAAACTGAATCTTCACTGGCATTGGCTAGACCTGAAGGCGTGCCCTTGAAGCGCTTTTGAATTAAACCAGAGGAAGGACCGGGACCACCGTGATTTCGAAGCTTCCTTTTCATAGAACACTCCGAATTGCAGTAGGCAGGCGAACGCATTGGAGCCAGAAGACCAAGAGCGAATGTACAGAGTTCTGCTGTGAAAGAGTTTGACTGATATTGGGCGGAAGCCTCCCATTTGCAAACCTCCAAGGCCTACGAAAACGAAGTCAATGAATTTAGTCGGACAGTTAACAAAAAATGCTAAAGTTCTAAATTTTGAATTTCACATAAGCTACATCAGTTGAGGACACATAAGAGATCGAAAATAAAATTTACTTCAAAACCAGTGGAGTTCTCGCTTAGTTGAATTCTCATTAAATAAAACAAGTCATATTTTTTAGAAGTGTTACAATATATACCAATATTGTAGTTAGCAGTAGCGTAAATGGCGTTGATGTGAAGTAAATGGCAAATAACAAATGTCCAAATTTTAGCTTTAATACGAAACCAGAACCTAGTTAACATATGTTTTTTTAAGTCTCAATTGTATAGAAGCAATAAAACGAGTAGTGATAATAACTCCAAAAAAGACAGTTATTACATTAAGCAAAGCAAATACATAAGCAAAAATAAGGTTATAATTGTATTATAAAAATGTTCGTTGTAAATATGCAGTGGAAAAAAGTTAAATAGATAAGAGAAGACTTACAGCCGACAAAACTTCTAAAATGAATGTTTCAACAGGAGTGGCAGAAGGTAAACTTTTACGTTTAAGAGGCGAAGAGATATCAACAGGTTTGTTAGAAATTGAATGTAGATAGCCCACGATGACAGGATGAACAAAACTTAAAATAGCAAGTCGTGATGGCGGGCAAGAATGTAGAAGGGTAGTTAAATCCTCAGATAAACGTAACCATTCACTCGGTAATCGATTAAATGGATAGTTATGTGGACTGATCTCACACTCCCTTTGGCACAAAGCGACAAACCGGCGTAGAAGGACACCGACGCCCTCTGCAGACATCCCGCAAGCTTAATTCTGACTTCAAATACACAACAGCTATCCGGCCGATTATAACACAATATATGTAAAAAGGTAAAATTAAATAATTTAAATGCATTCAGGTGCAAAACTATAGTGTTAATTTTTGATAAATATAATGATAGTGATTACACTTTGGTTTCTCTAGTCGTCAAGGCAATAAACCTATCTGAATTAGTGAAGAGGTAAAAATATATACATTAGGTAGCAACTGCTAAAACTAATATTTAATGAAAAAAAATATTTAAATTTTAAACTTTCGCATAAATAATGATCGACGCAACATTTAATATCGGACGCTATTTCTACGGATCGTAAATTATTATATTGTAGAAGCTGTGCTTCATAAGCAAAATTGACTCAAAATCTAATTCGTATATTACATACCTGAAACCATGGAGTATCCATCTTTTAAGACTGTGATTGAATTAATCGAACTGTTGTAATTGCAAATAAATATTTTATTTTCCCAAATCTTTAGTTTGGTGTAATGTGATATATCATAGTCTAATAAAACAAAAATTAGAATGTCATGTTATATGGGACGAAAAGGACGACATAGAATGGAATACAACATAACTGCACATTATGTAGTTGGCAGAAGTAAAATAGAAGCTACTCTTTCATTTGTTCGATGTGATCAATAAAGAATGATCAGGAAGATTCAACTTAAGTTTGAGGTAAAAAAAACTGCCAATTAAATATTACCAAATGGCAGACTATAAGAATAATAAAAGATGTGAGATAAGAGAACTGGAAAGATGGAAAGTGTTTCACAAAATGTGATTATGGGATTAAGCTTATCTAGTCACTGGCAGACAGAAATGCCTGAAATGTCACATATCAGAACGTTATTTTTAGTGCTCAAATGGTGTCAAGTGCGAAGATCTTTCCTAAACCGCTTCATTAGACACATAACCACTAATTGTATCAATTGCGCATTGCTTGAATGATCAAATTGCCTGAACAAATCGAATATTCATTTCTTCGAAATTTGTCTTGGCCATTTCTGTGAAATTTCTCTCACTTACTTAAACACATCATCAGGACTAGCTTATGTGATATTCAAATTTACTTGAGATATTTCGATTTTAACAGAGACTCTAGAATATCACCAATTTCACCTACCCACCACAATTGCGATGTTGAGAAGCATAAAACAAAACACCCGGTATGGACCTGTCCAGTTTGCATTTTAATACCTCCATTTGTTCACATTCTACTGTATGCCAATTATGCTCCCAGTCGTGTGCATGAGCTCTTAAGTCTTTATTAAGAAACGAGGACTTTGGGAGTCGAGGGTCATTGTGTTCAGAGAGGATTAAAATGGGCAGTTTACCGACAAGTTCGACCAAAACGATGAGTGCTTCACCTTAATCATTATGACACATATTATCCCAGATGCCTTATGTTATTCGAAGTGCTTGACGAAGGTATTTGCTCAACGAGTTACCCTCCCCCCTTCCCCCATTTTAACTGAGGCCAGCAAACATACTCATGAAAAGTGCAAATCTTCTGTGCTCTCACCACTTTGAACAAAGCACAGGCAATTGTGGCAGCTAACGTTAATGCAAGAGGCCTTGACTGTCGCATTTGTCTCCAACTAGTCAGACTTATAGGAGATTTAGCCAAATCCTTAGTTCTGATTTAGCCGCTACAATCTTCACCCATGCAAAACAACTAGTCTGTCTGCGATGGTCCGATAATGCCAACCAAACGGTCACCACACTCACGAGCCCAATAGGTTATCCACGCATCCTCTGATTTCTATGAAGTCCTTTCTCTCTCTCCCCCTCTTCCTTCAGACCTTAACTATGCTGTGCTAAATCAACATTTGTTGGGAGGGCTTAGAAGAGAGGGGTCACATCTTGCCACCCTCTCCAAAACTGCTTCACCCTCCAGTTACTATGTATCCCCTCCTCCCATTAGTCTTCGTTTCAACCAGACACCTGCAATCCAGAATATTCATTTACCCCTTCCAAATTCCTCAATTTTCCTACCACTATTTACCCATTAAGCATCATGAAAACATTCTACCTATGAAACAGGTAGATAAATGGAGGCATTATCATTGAGGCAATGCTACCACTACCACTACCACCACCAATAATAATAATAATAATAATAATTGTAATAATAATAATAACAATAAAAGAAATAAGATTATTTGGCTGTTTCAATTATTGGCAGTGATATGCTATTTATACAAATGAATCTACGCGCGCGAGTAAATTGTCTTAATTGAGGATCGATATTGCCATCGATTTTTTCGCTAAAAATGCAAATCTTCTGAAAATTTTCACTTTTACTAACTTTCTGGAATGGGCAACCACGTATCAACTTCGCATCGCGTCTTTCGTTTTACTAGACGTAGGCGAGTTAGGAAAGAACAGCCTACGAAGGTGGAGGAGGCAGTGGGAGGAAGAGAGAATAGAGAAGACAACACCGGCAACAAGAATTCTCACAGCGTGCGCGAATGTCAAGCTCTAGAATGGCAGTGTGAGAAACATGAAGAGATAGGGGAGAGGACAAATAGAATGGGAGAAGTGGAAACGAGTGCTGAGGCAGTGGAGAAGAAAGAAGAAGAAGAAGGAGAAGAGGAGTTTGAGAGTAGAAAAGATGAAAATGAAGATGAAGACAACGAGTGCTCGTCTAGTCTGAGGGAGTTTCTTATGCTTGAAAAGTTGTGTGAGGAGTGTGTAGAGACAGAGGAGAAGAAGAATAAGAAGAATAGAATTGAGGAGAGGAAGGTAGAAGAGGAGATTGAAAGTAGAGACGATGACGCTGACGACAGCGAGTGTTCGTCTAGTCTGATGGAATTTCTCATACTTGAAAGGCTGTGTGAGGAGCACGAAGAGGCAAAGCAGAGGAAGATAAGGAGAGAACAAGAGAAGATAGACATGGAATTTGAGAAGTTTCGAGAACATCAATTGAGTACAATAGAAGAAGAAGAAGAAGAAGAAGAAGAAGAAGGAGAGGAATTGGAAGATGATGTTGAGGACGAGGAGGAACGGGAGGGTGACAAAATGGTTAGAGAAGTAGGAGAAAAATGTGAACGCCTTGACGACTTTCATGGAGGAGAAGAAAGCAAATATGCGGCTTCCGGAGATAGCCACCGCATGCAACAAGGGGAGAAGCTAATGCCTTTTGAAGAGTTCTGTGGGGAAACTTTCGAAGTCTCTCCCACCTTTTTTCAGGCTATATTGGAAGAGAGTAGAATTTCACAGGAAAGGCTTGAAAAGGCACATGAGGAATTTGGAAAGTCCCTAAGACTTTATTCCTCTTATAGTGAATGAAGTGGGAGGTGCGTTGGAGAAAGAGTGGAAAGGGAATGAGGAGAGTGATGGACATTCCAAGCAGAAACATCTCCTACTCAAGGCCCTGTCCGAAGACCAGTGACCACCGGCAACTCGTCACTTCTGCCCTCATCTCAGTCCCTTCCTTCCTATTCAAAAAATACAAAATTAAACATATATAAAAAGACAAAAAAAAATTACAAAATATGGAAAAAAAACAAAAAAAACTAAAAAATCTAAAAAGCAAAAAAAAAACGAAAATTCTAAAAATGACAAAAAATCTCGTTTTACAGTTGTCTTTTCTCCATTTCTAATCACTTTATTCTATCTGCAACTTTTCCATCCATTTCATGCATGCATTCTGGTTGTAGTATTCCCTATTCTCTCCCCCCCCCCCCCAACTCTATTTACCTCTATTCCACCTGCGTTTTTCCTCTTTATTATTCCTTTACATCTATTTCTGAACTATGTCCATGCTTCTCTAGCCCCTTACAAGGCAATTTTACTCTGAAATAATATGCATTCTTCCTCCTCATCCAACTACCCTCTTCCTTCTACCAACGGTTACACTGTAGGTAGTAGCCTTACTGCAGTTTATATTCTAGCAGCATGAAGGACGCCGATTAGGATGAGCATGAGGTAGGAAAGATTAGAGCCTACTAAGTGCCCCGTTGTAAGCTAAGGTAGGCCAGAACCATGGGCTACGTGTCATTGGAATGTGTAATAGGCATAGGGGTGCAGTAGGTATAAGTCTGCAGCAACAAATGGGAGGTTGCTGTGTGGGCGCGGGAGGTACGAGTAGGCACAAGCGTGCTCCAAGTGCGTGTCCAAGTTCTTCTTCGTCTGGGCAGTGCCTGCGCCTTCCTACCCAGGAAACTCCATCCCTCACCTCCACGCGGTCCTGGGTGGTAACGTCAGTCTCCTGCATTCATGCCGCCATTTCAAACAAGCACTAGCAACAACAACAACAGCAGCACCAACAGCAGGGGAGGAGACCGGCGGTGAATAGAAGGAGACTGGCGGTGAACGAGGGCTCTGGGCAGCCTTGGCTAGCCAGCCAGCTGCACTTCCTCGAATATGTCCCAAGTCCACCTCAAACACAGTTGCCGAATTCTGTATAGATGTATCTCAATCAACTACAATAATCTACAATTCATTCTTTTTATGGCCACCTTTTCATTTGAGCTTCCAGGTCACGTTTGATGTTCAACTTTTCCATAACAATTTTGTTAATCAGTAAGATATCAAAAATTATCGAGAGGATCATGCAAATACGAAATAGTCAAAGCCAGTCAAATAAAGTCGAGGAACATTCGTAGCTCATTTCGATGATTATAGTGAGTTTTTTCTACAAAGTACTGCATCACTACTCGTCAATCTGTCTATTTCACTGACTTCTCGCACAACTTTGTGGCCTGTTTGCCTTTACACGCTGATGTCAAACCCCAGTGAACTTACTACATTCCTCTTCAGAAACTAATCACTGTTTGAGTGATCTTCGAAATTAGTCTTGACGTTTGAGGTGAAAGTCCAGCCATTAACAGCACGTGCTTACCACTCAGTTTTTTAATCTCATCATCATGTCCAGATCATGTAGCATTCGGCTAAATCACTTGACAGGCAATAAGACCTTCGGAAAATGCTCCTGTCATGTGACAAGCTTTTCTATTCTCCTTGACCCATTCAGCGACATCCTGTGAACCTGTTTCAATCACACAATGTGCAGTTGGATCATGTCCCAACTGAATGGTCCATCTCGTTCTATTAATCAAGGGGCCTTAAGTACTTTCTCAACAGACATACAGATATTCATTCAAGCAGACTTACAGATACCAACTAACTAAAATGTGCGCGTGCTTGCTCTAACAATCGGGCGAATCAGAATCTACGACAATATTATATTGCAATTATAACATCTGAAATGGCCGCACTCGTATTGTTCTCGTGCTTTGAGCGTCTTTATTTGTCAGTGCCCGAAAAAGTTACGTTAAGTCACTTGTACAAAATTACCGAGTTGCCTTTTTGGACAGCCAAAACGTCTTATCACAATGTTCGAAATTGAGATGTCTTGACGTTAATTGGTGTAATATTAAGGTTGAAGTTCGATTTGCTAGGACTCAATTAAATAAAATACGTACTACGGTGTACAAGGTGAGTGTTAATGCCAGTGAAGCAATGACAAAATGAAGTATGGGAGTGTATAACGTTGCCTAACCCTACAAGAATCACATGGCAATGCCAAGTGTGATGAGGAGTTGATGATTGAAATATCTATTCGGTAGACTACCTGTCCATACCTCGTGTGTTCAAGCAAGTGGTATGTCAGTGCGAATCGCTGGCACCGTAGTGAAACAGGCTTTGGTCAATTGCCGATGTGGCGAAAATACACACCACTTTTTACATCGCCCTACACTACTTCCCTCAATGTATATCCCAGCTTGTCTCGATTTATTTTCCTCTTCTCCTTAACAATCGTACAATCAACTAGGCCATTTCACCCTTAACTTCACTAGCCTCCTAATTATACTTCACCTCCACTTCCCTATATTTAAGTAATAGCTGCGTGTTTAAACTAGTCTTCTCTATGAATATTCATCATGGTTCTTACTCTTTAAAGGAATATGCCACTTTAAAATAAAGCGTTTTTTTCATCGTGTCGCCCATTTCTGTGCAAAATCCACAGTTTATGGCGTTAGATGAACGAATTTTCCATCTACGGTGAACCCTACCTCCATACCTGGTGCGAGAAAAAGACAGGTGAAATAAGGTACGATAAGGTGGTCGGGCTATTCATGGTTTTCTGTTCGGTGACTTGCGATTGTGGGTGAGTGGGTAAGCATTACATAGGGAGAGTGAACAAACTCATGATTCATCGGGTGATGGTAACGTGGATGGTATGAGCAATGCTTGTGAATCTGCAGTTAATCTGTTTGATTACACAAACGTACAAACGTGGAACTGAAGCATATTACTACTTGCAATTTTTATTACATATTTGTGAATGAATAGAACTGAATTAAGTTAGGAAATTTCATTTTAAAACTGCTTCCGTGTTAAATAGAATCACAGTTAAATTGTCCAAGCTGACGATTGCAACCAAATTTGAAAATGGGTGGATCAGAAAATACAAGTGATGTAGCGGTATGGCTACCGAGCTCAGGTTGGGTGGATAGTGTTTAAGTTATCCTTAATTGCACTTCTACATGGGAAGGGGGTCATATACTCCAATTATCAAACAGGAAACGACAGGACGACTCATTGGCACTGTAGGTGTTCGCCAATTACAGACATGACGAAAATACACACTAACATGGTTGCTGGTTTTGAAGTGGAGAACGGTGTCAATGTGCTATCAACATGGACCTCTATGCTACCTGTCCCATTGACAATAATAGCAAACCACCTATTCAACTCACCGATCAACAATCTCATCGTTTACACAGTCTTCCTGCACCCTCCAACAAAAAATAGTAATGATGTTTAACAATGGTATAGTTTTATTCAAAATAAACCAGCATGAAGTATTAGATATTTAGAAGTATACAAATCATGGATTGTGTGAGTAAAGATGAAGTGAGAAGTATGAATATTTTTACAAGATATTTGCAATGGAGAAAATGGAAATAGTGTATTGTTGGCACAATCAGTGGAAGAAAGTAGTGCTAACAAAATGAATGATTGAATGAGAAGAGGTAAGGTGGGTGGTTATGGAAGAACCAGAAGTAAGAATTGTCATCCGAGAAGTTGTAGCCACTTGGCAAGGGGTTGAGCCAGTTCATCACTTGATCGGGGCTGCGGTCATCTTCATCTGAGTTGGCAGTGTCAATCAGGAATTATAAAGAAACAAACACTCGTTCAGGATGTTTAAGCCCATGATTTCACATTCCACGTAAAACATATTTTCGCAAAGATTTTGAGTTTATTTGAGATGACATAATTATTCACATTGGTATGCAATGCAGAAAGCCTTGGCTATGCCACCTAAGCTAATATGATAAGCGCAACCATTATAAGTATACATTTAAAAGTTCAAAAAGTGTGTTTAATTATTGTACCGGTATGAAAAAATAAAAATAATTTGTGAGATTTTCTAAATTGACACAAAATCGATGTAGAACAAGCGTATAGAAAGCAAATTTGGTGAAATTCTAAAATATTGATAAAATAGCCCAACTTGAAGGTCAGTTGTCACCTATATCAACCCACTCTGTGGGGATTACTTTTAATGTGCATAAGTTTTGTCTTCGAGGCCGAAGATCGTATTGGGAGAAATAGTTTCCATCCTTTTCATTAACATACTATTATTTCCTAAGTAGCTTAACCTGGTATGGAGATAAGATTTGACGACAGAATTTCAATTGCCTATCGGATGCTTGAAGCAGTAATTAAGAACAGGAAGCAATCATAAGGTCCTCCATTGCATCCGCTCAAAATAACAGGCAGCTGAAATATGTCCTATTGGCTATTAACTTAAACAAAAATTGAGTTAGGACCTGAGATGGAAATGAGGGAAATCGCTTCCAGACCGAACAATCTTCGTCAACAACAGCACCATCCTGGCAGAGTGTTTCTCTCGAGGAAGTAGGTAGAAGACAAGCAGAGAATTGTGTCGCAGATGTGGTTTTCGATGCTTATGTTGGAGCAGGTGGGGACATCGTCCAAATGTTTGTAAAATGCAGAATTGCGAGGTGATTTCTTTATTCCATTTCGCTAGCCTTGTAGTAAATGGAATAGATAACGATTTGGAGCGTGTGGCCTAATACTTGGGTTTGTGGCGTTGAGGCTCGTGTGGAGTGTTTTGTTATCAATGTCAATAGGCCGTTACGGACTCTAAAATGTGAACCGTCAATCGATACCACCCCTACGTCACCTCTTTAGGGTGGAGGTGGTTACCTAATATTAGCCGACTTTGCCATAAATCCTTATCTTCTAACAAGCGCCGAAGGAGTGAGATGATGCTGGCAGAAATGACAAGCCCTGTCCTTAATCGTTGACACTAATAAACACATTTCGCAATTAGTAGGTAGCGATAGTGCAGCGAAGTGACTAATTTTTAATAGGTCCTCTTCCAGGGTGGCCTTTTGCCTTCCACGAAATTCAGCT